ATATAAAAGAAAGAAATATAAAGAAAAATTCAATACAGTGTGGAATACGAGCGATTTTTACCCGATCTTTACGTCGATCTTCTTGGATGTTTTAGAAAAATTTTATTTTTAATTGGAGCGTTTGAGCATGCATATACTTTATCGATTTGATATCTCGGGAGCGCCGAGCTAAAAGGGAAGAAGGAAGTACAGTCGGAATAAATCCTCGAATAATTCCCCTCGGCGCGGCAAGCGCTGTACTTTGCGGATCGTGTTTGCTCGAGGATTCATTGGACGCGGGCACGCGAGCACATAATAAACATGTCGGACTCATTATTTATCGAATTGTCTTAAGTTCCCGTGACATTATGCGAAAGTCCACGGCTCGCCGGTTACGCCGCGGGCCGAAAGTATGTGACACTACGAATACTCGCGATCGTAAATCCGTCATCCGTTAAGAAAAGAAACTGGTCTTGGAACGATAATATATTGCGAAAGATTTAAGAAATATGTGTTTTCCATTTTTTTTTTCTCTACAATACTTTTTTGTAAATGATTAATATTGCCATTATAAAATGTATGATATAATTTGAAAACCTTAATAAATTTTCCGTCCTAAAGGTTCTTGGAAATAGTTTTCAAATAATCTTCGTTTTTACCTATTTCTTGTTAATATTACTAGCCATTTTATTCTTAAATAAAAAAAATATTTAAATATTTAAATATTTAAATTTTTAAATATTACAATGTTCGTGTACTTAAGTATTAAAATATTCAAACATTCAAATATGTAGATATTCAAGTTTCTTTGTCTTTAAATATTTCAGTATGTATTCAAAATATTCAAGTATTTTAATCTACAAGTATTCAAGAATTCAAATATTCTTCATTTTAGCTTTTAAGCAGTCATATGTTACGTCCGAGGTTCCGGAGGAAAGGTAATACCTTCCGTCAGGAGGAGAAGAACTCGGGTGGACGCACGGAATCTTCGTTGCTCTCACAGACCGATGTCGTGAGGTCGATCCGCGAGTCGAACGCGCGTCAAGGGTACAGGAATCGGGTCAGCGTCGGTGACGTTATAATCCTTACCTGCGCCAGCGCTATCGGTGATCCGTTTTTTGGTCAGAGAATCGAATCTCTTTTACCAGGGATGGACCTCGTGCGATCCTCAGGGAGCCGTGAACGGTTCGGGGTCAAGTTTTTGGGTAAATAAATCGAGACGGAATTCGAGTTAACTGATTTAGTAATAAAAATAAAAAAAAAAAGGAGAATACAATATGTTAATTCTTAAGAATTTTCGAAGTGGCGCAAATTTTACCGCGGAAAAGGGGTAATAAAAATGGAGGGGTAATAAAAATTACTTTTGTCGTGGCGGGCGCTGGTGATGGGCGAGAAGTGTGGTGCCTACGCCGGATCGTGGATCGTATCACACGTGAATAGAGGTATCGCGCACAGATTCTAACTAAAAAATTGGTGACAGCCACG